TCGTTAGCAAAGATAATGTTTCATATGCCAAAGGTCAATAATTACATCAAAGATATTCAAAACAGGCTTTATGACATTTCTATTAATGTGTAAGACAAACGTAATTAGGAGTTAGACTATTATATCATGTATCTGAAAATAACATTGTTAAAATTAATTTTTAGTTCAACATCTTTCAGCGGAAATGACCCAAGAAAAATTTATGGTGTCCCGATTTTATTTTTTATTCTTAAAACTGCTAGTATTATTTTCAATTTACTAAGAAAAGTTATAATGTGTAACTTCTATTGATAAGTTGAGTCGCAATTCTTTTATTGAAATCAGTTATTGTGTTGGCTGAAGTTGTTTGTTTCATTAGCTATTGATTTTATACAGTGCATTAAAATAGTTAGGGTAATGATGCTGTAGTAGCATACATCTACTATATTATAATAAGATTAAATTTGAAGAAAAGTTATTAGTCTATTAAGCTCATGATAGGTATTCATCGACATCAAATGGGATAACTAATTTTTTAAACATTAATAAATAGATTATTTATCTACGTTTAATAAAGATAATTTGGCGGCAAATTGACCCGCTACAAATATCAATGAACTAAAATACCGACGAGATAGGGTGAGTTTATTATTACGGCTAATGTAGTTTTCACTATAGTGTTTAGCATCAAGCACTTAATGTCGGTGTGACAGTGTCATATACTGTATTAGAGTAGAAATATCTATGTTAGGATAATTCTGTTAACCTATCCTTATTTAGTTAACGTCTAATTTGGATATACTGTGTTTTAATATAGCACTGACTTTTTATGACAGTGACATTTATACACATACTGAAATTAATAGTTATAATAGGGAATACAAATCGTCTACTTACAGTTCGAATCATTGTGATTATAATTTACTTATGGTAGATTGTAAATTATCATGGAAATGTTCCGTGATAGGACATATCGTAATCTGACTATTCTTTTTTAGTCATCAGATGTCTATGTTCGTAAATACTGTTGTCTGCATTAAGGGAGCAGTAGCTAAAATTAATATCTAGTTCAGTAAATGATTCCAAACTTAATCGTACTAACTATGACTCATGAATTATTGAGAAAGAGTATATAAATGCAGTATATCGTGTAATAAAGTGAATTCTTAAACTTAGTTTAAAGCAAAATATGAGGCGTGTAAGTCTTTGTGTAGCCTGCTAGTAGAGCAAAAGTGTTACTGATAGTGCAGCTATCGTTCCTTGATACGTGGTTCAAGGAATTGACTTATAAATCGTACATTAAGTTATCTTGTTGCAAAGCTGTTTTGTGACAGTCGGTAAAGCAAAATTTTATCCTAAACTAGGGCAAAATTTGATATATGGAAATCATCGGACAAATTATTATAGAACATGTAACTTGTAACCAAACTCAGCGCTTCCTACGCTTTGTAACTATGCTATATAAATAAGCTGGGTTAATTTCATTATTCAAAAAACATATCTTATATAATAATATACTTGTAGGCATCTCAAAACTGGCAATAGAAACACTATTAGGTTTTGCAACGACAACATGTAGAAATTAAATGGCGTAATAGCAATGATAGAAGTCTCCAAAATTGAAAATATCTTTTACTGATAGAATACGAAAAAATATCGCAAGACTAACAGAGATTTCAATACCAACTTTAAAATTTAGAATATATTTTAGGGATTGAAAGGAAACTTTTGTTGTTAGTAAAAGTCAGAAAAATCAACGAACTGGCCTTTGCCGTATGACATATGTTGGAAGACATTGGTACATTTGGTAATGAATTTCGTAATTAAGAAAGCGAAACTTAGTAAGTTGGATGAAATATTCCATCAATAAAAGAATTTAGTAAAATTAAAGAACAAGCCAATATTACAAGAGTTGCTATTCATTATCAGAAGACTTTCGCAAGTTTTACCATTTATGAAATATTGAAGATGCCAATTATTTGATGTCAGCTAGGTGTTTCTAAGCTGTACAAACTTCATTTTCATGTCTGGCAGCAGAAAATTTATAATATTTTTGGAAAAGTTGCCATTATATACATACAATGCTTAATGAAAACTGCTACAAGTATTGATTTCATCATTTTATTATTATACGTGAATAATTCACCCTTACTATCGCGAGTAGACCATTCATTGGCTAGTTTAGTTTTGTATAGGGAAAATGATAACAATATTATCGTTCTCAATTTTGCTATAATTTCGCTATTTGCATTAACGTTATATTACCCTGTGATTACCCTTAAGCACTACTGATGCCAATAAGAAACACAAAAAATTAATAAAAAATCATCAAATAGCCTATACGGATTCCTTGGTCGATGATATATGAATTCATAACAATTTTTGAAATGAATAGCTAATGGTGACTTTCGAGTAACTAAGAACTTTATGCCTAATCACCACAAGATCTAGTTGTGTCACTTTTGCCCGTATTCTAATAGAATAGTGTACATAATTAATAAAATATTTGCGTAAAAATCCATTAAATGGCGATGATACTACTCATGAAATACTCTCTTTACATTCGCTAATGGACCATTAATAGGTAAAAACTTACTTAAAGCAAATAAATTCTATCATTACATCAGATCGAGCTTAACTATAAAGCTCAAACTACTCAATTATAATGGCTATCAATTAACTTTTTTCCAAGTCTTTATTATTTAATATCCCTTTAATATCTAATCGTGTTTAGTTTTATTTAAAATAATTGATCGTGTGCTAAGCATTAACCAGACACTAGTAGATTTATGAATTATGTCACTATCTTTGCATTCTAATGAACAGGATTCACATATAAACAACTGCTGCCCGTTAATAAAACAAATAACAATACTCTTGTTAATCGATAAAAATTATTATAAATCACTATTGATATTTATTCTATTCGCTTTTAACTGATTTAATTCACATCATTAGCTCCAAGATTAGTTACAAATTTGATCTACTATGACTGAAATTTTCGTTTAATCAATACATTATCCCAACTGAACCACTGAAGATGTCTAAATTGGACTTGATTCCTGATCTGTATTAAATACTGTTCTACTGCGTTTTGTCGTTCCTCTCTGTATGCCAGTATTTCTGCTCTATATTTAGATATAACAGTATTAAATTTACTATTATTTTTAATGGATACGATATGTTTCGTATAAAAAATGAGGTGCAATGTCGTCAGAATTCAATTTGAACTCAAATCTGATCGTCATTTCCTATACGTTAGTATGTACAATCTAGTCACTCACTCAGACTGGTCTGGTGTTCAGTAGAAGGGATGGTGAAGGGTGTGATAGCAAAATGGTCAAGTGTACTTTGTACTAATTAAATAAAAATAAAAAATATAGTAAATGCATTTCTGATGGCTGCAATTTGGGAGAATTGAATTTGAAGGCAGGCAGCAGGCCTAGGTAATCAATATTTATTTTTTAATTTACATCTACCTCTAATAAATTAAATTATAAATATGATATGAATTCATGCAAATTGTACAGTATCGTTGTGATTAGAGGGTCTCTCGTTCTCATCATTTCTTGACGCTGTCCACTGTATAGTACAAAAGGGACCACATGAACGGTGGAACCTATTATACTGTACTTGCAAAACTATTCCCTAATCGACTTCTTCCAAGTCTGCATATCAATTCATGCAAATTGTACAGTATCGTTGTGATTAGAGGGTCTCTCGTTCTCATCATGCTGTCCACACTACAGTACTGTACAGTACTGTAGTGCAGTACTTCAAAAGAGTCCATATGAACTGTACTTGTAAAACTATTCCCTAATCGACTTCTTCCAAGTCTGCATATGAATTCATGCAAATTGTACAGTATGGTTGTGATTAGAGGGTCTCTCGTTCTCATCATTTCTTCATGCTGTCCACTATCCACTTATCCAGTACTGTAGTGCAGTACTTCAAAAGGGTCCATATGAACGGTGGATCCTATTATACTGTACTTGCAAAACTATTCCCTAATCGACTTCTTCCGATCAATACTGACAGACTTGAAGATTCGTCCTCTTCCTTTCTTCATCTTGGCTTACATTATACCTATTAGGAGTTTTTAACCGTGTTAATTCCTGCACTAACGCTGAAAATAAAATCCCTTAAGGCCATGGCTACAACTAGTCAATGACTGCTGTGGAACAATGAACATTAGATTAGGCTTGTTTTGCCCTTTGTTAAATGCTACAACTTTGAAAGCTTGCTGAGAACAATAGCTGGTCGTCATTGTTCCCCTAGAATCCCTGAAGCCTCCTGCGGTCATTGCGTCCAACTTGACCATATATGGTCAAAATGAAGGTCATTACTTCCCAACGCGTCATCCGCGCGATGGATAGCACTCCTCCTTGTTATTGTTATCGCATGGATGTTATTGTCGGTGATAACAATCCCCCCCAAAATATCCAAGTGGTCGGGAATGCTATGAAAAGAGAGGGATAGTCTACTGTCGAGAATAGTCTATCCGTCCATCAGCCTAATTATACACATTGGATGCCGCCGAAGAGGGCAGACCATGCATATATAGCAGTGGGTAGTCGCCAAGCGCATAGGGGGGCTGCGGCAAAAACATGCAAAATGCGGTGATGGAGGAAAAAACAAGCGAAAGGAAATAACGGTCGCTGATGGATAGTAAGCAAGGAGGAAATGGCCTGAGAAAATAACTTGACTGGAATCTGCGGTACAGTGTCAAGTACAGTACAGTACAGTACAGTACGGTACAGTACAGTACTATTGCCGGTAAAACCATGGAAGAACAAAGCCAATCGTCATCCACCAATGATAATAATCGCTATTGTCCGGGCGAACAATACCAACATTGATTCAAAACAAGCTCGAGAGGGTGACAGTATATAAACGATGGTTGAGCCATAGTCGTCCTGTACTTTCGGCGACAACGCACTGCGAAGGGACTTGGCATTTCGATTTCCAGTTTTGCTTTCTTATCCTTTTCACTTTCTCTTGAAAATCAATTGCAATCCAATATGGCAGACGATGATGTTGCAGCTTTAGTCATTGACAATGGCTCCGGTATGTGTAAAGCCGGATTTGCTGGTGATGATGCGCCTCGAGCCGTTTACCCGTCCATCGTAGGTCGACCTCGCCATCAAGGTGTCATGGTTGGAATGGGTCAAAAAGATTCTTATGTCGGTGACGAAGCTCAAAGCAAGAGAGGTATCCTTACCTTGAAATATCCTATCGAACACGGTATTGTCACCAATTGGGATGATATGGAAAAGGTAAGCCACCACGTTAGCCTTTTTGAGGGACAATCAACCCATCCAAAGGGAATGGTTTGATTGCCGCAATGCTTGTTGATAATTGAAATGGTTTGAAAAAGATAAAATAAAATAAAGCAAAAATTCAACCCCACCTTGTTTTATTGGGATTCTTACCTAGATCTGGCATCATACTTTCTACAACGAATTGCGTGTAGCTCCAGAAGAGCATCCCGTCTTATTGACGGAAGCTCCCTTGAATCCTAAAGCAAACCGTGAAAAAATGACTCAAATCATGTTTGAAACATTCAACAGCCCTGCCATGTACGTCAACATCCAAGCCGTACTCTCCTTGTATGCTTCTGGTCGCACAACTGGTATTGTCATGGATTCTGGCGATGGTGTTAGCCATACTGTCCCCATCTATGAAGGTTACTCTCTACCCCATGCCATTATACGTCTGGATTTAGCTGGCCGCGATTTAACCGATTACTTGATGAAAATTTTAACCGAACGTGGCTATAGTTTCACCACCACTGCTGAACGTGAAATTGTGCGCGACATGAAAGAAAAGTTAACTTATGTTGCATTAGATTTTGAGCAAGAAATGCAAACTGCCGCCTCCAGTTCAAGTCTGGAAAAGAGCTACGAATTGCCTGATGGTCAAGTCATCACCATTGGCAATGAGCGATTCCGTTGTCCTGAAACTCTCTTCCAGCCTGCTTTCATCGGCATGGAATCAGCTGGTATTCATGAAACGACCTACAACTCCATCATGAAATGCGATGTCGACATTCGTAAAGACTTGTACGCTAATATTGTATTATCCGGCGGTACGACCATGTTTGCTGGCATTGCTGATCGTATGCAAAAGGAAATTTCTGCCTTGGCACCTCCAACCATGAAGATTAAGATTGTTGCTCCTCCTGAAAGGAAATACTCCGTTTGGATCGGAGGATCCATCTTGGCTAGCTTGTCTACCTTCCAACAAATGTGGATCTCCAAGCAAGAATATGATGAATCTGGCCCATCCATCGTTCACCGTAAATGCTTCTAAAATGGTCGTTCATAGGCTGAATAAATTTCTTTCAATTTCTTATTATTCCAAAGCTCTACTATTTAATCTGCAATGACAATTTCCATAATTAATTATAATAAAATTGATTTAAAATCTGCATCAATTTGCGTGCCCTGTTTTTTGTTTCTTTGCTGCCGTGGAGTTATCGCATGAGTTGCCAGATAGCCCTATCAGTATGAATCATGATTTCATAGCGGATAGATTGCGATCACTAATAAGTTTATTGACATCTGTACTTGTATTTGCATTACCACTGACAATTGTGATTAACTTAACTTAATGAATGACGTTGTTCTTAATTAAATTAATTTACGGTTACATATTTAAATGCCATCCATTATTTTCAACGCTGGAAAATAATAACTCTGATTACCATTCTCTAGACCGCAGTGTTGAAATAGTGGTTAAAAAGATCAAGCATGGGCGTAGCAATATTGATAAAAATTTAAAAATCAAATCACCGTGCTGTGTATTACCTAATAGTTGTTCGAACAAGGCCATGATAAAAGATAATGTAGAACTACACAATCTTTGCCCCCCCCCTCCCTCCATAACATTCTTTTCGTAAATTATTACTTTTTGTGCGAATGTCCCATTTTGAGGAGTACAGTATCTGGCCTATTCGCCGTAATTATTTGATGCTATAAATTAAATGATTACTTTTTGTGCGAATGTCGTGTTTTAAGGAGTACAGTATCTGACCTTTTCGCCGTAAATATTTTTTGCCAGAAAGTTGACTTTTCTGCGAATGTCCTATTTTGAGGAGTATAGTATCTGGCCTTTTCGGCTTTAAATATTTTATGCTAGAAAGGCGACTTTTTTGCGAATGTCCTACTACGAGGAGTATACTATCTGGCCTATTCGACGCAAATATTTTATGCTAGAAAGTCGACTTTTCTGCGAATGTCCTATTTTGAGGAGTGTAGTATCTTGTCAATTCGGCGCAAATATTTTATACAAGAAAGGCGACGTCCACTCTAAATGACTTTGAAAATCCAGTATACTATCGGAAGGAGTCCATACAGGACTGCATAAATCTGTATTTTAGGAAAAGACAGGCCGTGCTGGTCTTATACAATTTGCACGGCTTATGCGGCTTTTCGAATTTTCCTAACATGACAGTAGTAAGCAAATTACAAAAGCTAATTCAAACAACTGTCATTTATTATGAAATACTGTATTCACTGTTACTAGCTTATATTTGCAGACAAAAAGGAAATCATGGCGGTGCTCGGTTGATCTTTAACTTAGCGAGTCATTGCGTTATAATAACGCAAATCCATATGTATCATGGTAACTGTTTAATTGTCTTCGGAAAAGACAGCACAATCAGTCGACGATTGCATCTTCTACCACATATTTCGACCGACGGATAAGCTACCATATTATCCGTGATCCAAGAGTCGATCAATTTTATCTGCATTAAGCTCAATAGTAATAAACCTGTAGAGTATGACAATATGTAAAACAGAAAGTTCCGTCAGATAAGCACAATCAATCTACCATTGAATTCACAACGTATTTCGATAGACGACGTAAGCTACTGTATTATCCATAATCCAAAAGTAAATCAATTTTACAATACTCTAGGCTCATCGGTAAACATAGAATTATCTTTCGGAAAAATAATACAATCAATCTACGATTGAATCTTGTACTCTATTTCCATAGAAGAGATTAAATACTTTATTAGCCATAATCCAAAGTGCTGTAGATCAATTTTATTGGCAATAAGTTATAATAAACTACTTCTAGAATAGCTTTGTCATAACGAGATGGACGTATTTTTTGTCTTCTTGTACTAGCGTTCTTGCTAACTTCATCTTACCCTTTCATTTCCTTTCAATATGAAGAATAATGAATTCATAACCTGCGCTCCGCAGATTTTTCAACGACTCAGTATGTTTCGTATAAAGCAAAGCCATACGTAGAATGGCGAACGTTGAACTGTCTTTCAGAAAAGTTAGCATGTCAGTCTACAACTGCATCTTCCTGTACTGTAGTTGCTCTTTTGATAGACGAGGTAAGCTACCGTGTTATCCATCATCCAACAGTAGATCAATTTTATCTGCAATAGGTTCTAATTAGCTTGTAAACATTGAATTGTCTGGCAGAAAAAAAAAGACAATCAGTCTACCATGAAATCTTGTGTTAATCCCATAGACAAGGCAAGCAACTGTATGATTACCCATGATCCAAAAGTAGATCAATTTATCTGCCAGAAGTGATACACTAAATTAACTTATTGAATAGTCTATTGGTAGATATTGAGTTGTCTTTGGGAAAAGACAAGCACTGTCAGTCTGGCCATGATCTAAAAGTCGATCCATTTCATCTATAATGAGTTATAAAGAACAAATCCTAGAGCATCATTATCACGAGATACACTTCTATCTTCTTGCCCTAGTTTTCTAGCTCACTTCATCTTCTTACCCTTCAATTTCTTTACGACATGAAGAATAATCAATTTTCAGTGAAGGGAGCCTCCCATATACTGTTTAAAGGGATTCATTTCGAAATAATTAATAATATTATTTTCATCGCTGATGTTACTATTGCTACTATATCGTATTAATTCCACAGGAAAATTATAATCGTTTTCCTTTGATTTACATCATCGCAATATCCATTCATTGGTAATGTTGATTCCGTTATACTTCTGGTAAATAAAATCAACTTCAATAATGAATAGGTTGCGGCAGAACTCATTTTTAGGAGGAATGTCATTAATAACTTGCATTCCATCAATTATCCTTGGCTAAGCACATCAACATGTTTTCTCCTTTATCCACCCAAGCCTAATTGGTCCCTAATTAGTGTAAGACACAGCAAGGAGTCCTAGTCATCTTCATCTTCATATTATAATAGCCCAAAAGAACAAGCTCTGCTTTGATAAAATATTCCACTATTGTTAATGAGCAGTCACAATGTTTATTATTTACTCAATGAAGTACTAAGAACATCGGTGCATGATAATTACACGACATGTAGGCATCTAGCGAATACTTTTATCATTGTATATATACCCCAGTATCATATAAGAAGTTCCAATGGTAAAGTAAGCAAATATTTTATTCCAGGTTTTATTTATTAATAGTATCTTGTTACTTGACATGAAAGTTATATTGACTGATGCTTGCGTGAGAGTCGATCATATAAGGAAATTATATCTTGAAATAGCAAAGTGTCTTATTCTATGCCGATGAAAGGTCTTCATTATTTGAGAAAAATGCTATAGAAACTGATTCTTGTGAGTAAATCGCATCAGAAAATGACGTATAAAACAGCAGAGCAATTTATTCCATATTTATGATTAAATTAAGTAGCTTGTGACTTGAGCAAAATCTATAATGACCAGTGGTGATACGAAAGGAGATGGCAATAGTAAATGATGTTATAAAATAATAAAGTGTTTTATTCCATATCTACTATAAATACTTTCTTACTTGAAAAGAATGTTACTCTCATATTGACTGATTTTTGTATACGCGTACGAGCAGATCACATTTAACAAAATTATGCACTAAATTGAGAAAGTGTCTTAATCAATATAGATTAAAAGCAATTTGTTCTTTAAAAAGTACTCGGCCGATATTTACGAGTGGATCACATTAGAAGAAACCTTGTAAAGTAGAAAGGCAACTTATTGCGCATTTATTGAAAACAGTTTATTACTTGAGAAGAATGCTAAATCGCCCAAATGCTGGTACACGGGTAGATCACACTAAAAAATGATGATGTAAACTGAAAAGTATTTTATTTCATAGCATTTATTAAAAGTAGTTTATTACTTGAGAAGAAAGTACTATATCGAGCGATATTGACATGCGAGTAGATCACATTGGAAAGTATTTTATATCATATTCGTATTCATTAACTGTAGAAATAATTCGCTACTTAAAAAAAAATGCAACACTTATATCGAACGATGCTTGCATATGACTATATCCCATTAGAAAATCACATTATAAAGTATGAAAGAATCATAACAGATATTTATTATGAATATCTGAAACTTTCCATGCGAGTACACAGTATAAAGTTACTGAACCTCTGACAGGTCTACGACAAATGGTAATACTATCTGTTAAATGAGCAGATTATCGTAAACCGTCAGCAAAACGACGGGAGTTTGCACTAGTATTTCTAATATTAATGCAAATTCAGATGCACCCTATCTAACTGGCCTATCATATATGAGTAATGGTAGATTTTATGATTAATCAATTGCAAGGCTAAAATTGTTTCATTTATACTGCAATGTCGCAGGCCAGGATTTACATGGAAGGCGGTCGTATCAATCAATTGTCATCATCACCTACAAATGGGCACAAATATGCATAACTAGGTGCAATTTTGAGATTCCAGCCTCATTCATTTGCTATAATACTGCCTTATACGTATTGTTGTTGTAAGAAGTTCTCATACTCACGAATCTGAAGACTAATTTGCTTGGCTGTACCATTCTATCGGATTAACGCTTAATAACATCTTCTATAATTACAATTACAGCAGCAGTACAACTTCTACCATAATATGGCAGATTGAAACACGTAATTCTAGCATCGACAAATAGTTTCACTCTGAAAGGCATTAGTGATTAATAAATAGCTATATTACCTATAACCATAGAAAATACCGTACAGTAAGTACCGGTATACGATGCAATGAGATGTAATTAATATTCTTTATTATTATTATTTAACAGTCAAAGACTGCAATATAATTCATGGACATAGGAGTCTAGAATATAAACTTTCCACAATCTCAACCACATTTTATGAACTACAGTACTACTAGTTCTTTATGTTTATTCGACTATCCTGAACTGATACGGCAGTTTTTTTTGCTATCCTCTTTATAACTGATCCAAAATAAGAGTAATCTACCCTATTTAAGGGCTCATGACAAGTTCTTACTAGCTTAGACATGACATCGCAAATTCTATTCATTTAGCAAAATTACAATCATTTCTAGCATTTCATGACATAACTAATACATAGTTCTTTCTATGATATTAAATATAAAAGTAAAAGCCATTAGCGTTTGTGGTGGTATTGGAAATCAGCGCTATAACACTGCGGA